TGTCATTCGACAATAAAAATTATATAAAATTAGTTTGTTCACTAAAAAAAATATATTGAACCCGTGCTAGCAATCGTATTGCTTGATTATTAATTAATTATTAATATATAAAAGCCTAACATTGAAGTTATTATTCATTAGTGGCCTCCAAACTCCTACAAGTGCAAGTGAGAAACATTTATTTGTTTGGTTTTCTTCACTCACATATCCATCTCCTAAATTAATATATAAGTTAATATATAAAAGTCTAACATTAATTTAATTAATATATTAAAACCTAACATTGGAGTTACTATTCATTAGTGGCCTCCAATCTCCTCCAAGTGCAAGTGGACAACCTTTATTTATTTGGTTTTCTTCACTCACATATCCTTCTCCTAAATCTCTAAAATTTGAAGAACCTCCTATTACCCCACTCTCCCATTTCATACCATTTGTTTGAACTTTTTTCCATTAGGTTTTCTCAATCTAATATCCATGTACTCAAATTCCCAAGTGTCTTTTTTTATCCAACTCTCTTATTTTACATCCTCTATGTTTAACTATTGTCCGTTGAGTCTACATCGATTGTCCATTGACTCGCTAAAACATAACTCCTAACAATGGCCAAGTGTAACCAATGAAAGAGACTGCAGTATAGTGGAACAAGTAATAAATATCGAGTCCACGGGTCTCTAGAGTTACTATTAATCAGCTTCGGTTTATTATCTAACAAACTAGATTAAAATAGAAGAACTATAACTACTATAGCAAACCACAGATAAAGTTAATCTAATTACAGGTTGGGAACTCAGTTAGATATGATTCCCCCTAGATTGCAGTTAGGCCAAGTGGTAATTCACCCAATTCAATTCAGCTGACATCTACATTGCGAAAAGTTCTCAAACAGTCTGGAGTCTCGACTAAAGTGTTCCAGACCCTCTCAGTGCGAATACCCGACGGGCGACTAACCTCCACCGACATAAACTAACAGAGGCACTATCACACAAAAATTCCTCTACTGAATTTCAACTCTAGTACAAAGCAATGAATCGATTTCTCGACTAAGGCAATCAATCCACTACTTCCAACTAAGGTTGCTCTATTAACCTATATAGAGATTATCGTTCTAGGTTAAAGCAGGAATCACAGGAATTTGATTAGGACTCAAGTAATTCTGAATCAATGCCTCAACTGAATATAAAACGTCAATCAATCATGAATTCAAGTTCATACAACTCTTCCTAGCATAAAAATCTAGTGTTTCTCAAAACCTAAGTGAAGGGAAGTTACTCATAGAGAAGAGAGAGAATATTGTATAACTTTCCAGATCTTTAATCTTCATGTCTGGACTTGTTCATCGAGCTTCCAAGGTGAAGAAATCTTCCACTTCCGCTCCAAGATTGCTCTCAAATTGCCCTCAAATCACCGTCAAATCGCCCTCTCTCTCTCTCTCTGGTTCGTCCCTTGGGTGTTTGGGAACCAAAACCTAGCCCCCCTCTAAAAATGCACAAAACAGGCTTTTATACCCGCTTTTAGAAGTTACCTGGTCATATTACCCGGTCGGGGTAATTGTACTTGGTGATCGGGTATCTTAAAAACGCTCCGGGTCACTTTTCTGCGCAAACGGGGAAATACCCAGTCGGGTTTTTCAGGTACCCTGTCGCGTATTTACACCTCCTAACCGAGGGGACTTCAGTTTCTCCTGGGAAAATACCCTATCAGATTTTCAAAATATCCTATCGGGTATTTTGAACCTACTAACCGGGTATTTTACAATTCCGGATCCCTTGTCTTTGATTCTTTGTTTCTCCCTCGTCTCGTCCTATTTCTTTTCATGACAAGCTTACACGATTATCTGGTCACAAAATGAGGTAGAAATCCATTTTTCTTCTGGTCATGCTCGAGTTTCTTCCACCGAGTTGTCAATTGATCTCCGATTGACTTGAAACTTGCGCCTATGCTTCACTTTACGCACTAGGACCTAAAAATATGACAAAGGAAAATAACCTAGAATAAAATAGGCCAAAGTATGATAAACACCAAGCTACACAATCAAGAAATGAGGGGTAAAACATGTGTAAATATGTAGTCATCATCCATCGTCTACCATTGTAGTTACCATTCATTAGTGGCCTCCAAACTCCTCCAATTGCAAGTGGGCAACCTTTATTTGTTTGGTTTTCTTCACTCACATATCCTTCAAGTAAATTTCTAAAATTTGGAGAACCTCCTATTACCCCACTCTCTCATTTGTCATTTCATACCATTTGTTTTAACTTTTGTCCATTAGCTTTTTCCAATCTAATGCCCATGTACTCAAATCTTTCCCAATTGTCTTTTTTTTTTATCCAACTCTCGCATTTTACATTCTCTATTTTTAACTATTGTCCGTTGAGTCTACATCGATTTTCTATCGTCTAACATTGGAGTTACTATTCATTAGTGGCCTCCAAACTCCTTCAAGTGCAAGTGGGTAACCTTTATGTTTTGGTTTTCTTCACTCATATATCATTCTCCTAAATCTTGAAATTTTGGAGAACCTCTTATTACCCCACTCTCCCATTTCATACAATTGGTTTTAACTTTTGTCCATTAGGTTTTCCCAATCTAATGCCCATGTACTCAAATCTCTCCCTAAATGTATTTTTTTTTATCAAACTCTCTCATTTAACATTCTCTATTTTAACTATTGTCTGTTGAGTCTACATCGATTGTCCATCGTCTAACATTGGAGTTACTATTCATTGATGGACTCCTCCAAATGCAAGTAGGCAACCTTTATTTGTTTGGTTTTTCTTCACTCACATATCCTTTTCCTAAATCTTTAAAATTTGGAGAACCTCCTATTACCCCACTCTCCCATTTCGTACCATTTGTTTTAACTTTTTGTCCATTAGGTTTTCCCAATCTAATGTCCATGTACTCAAATCTCTCCAAAGTGTCTTTTTTTATCCAACTCTCTCATTTTACATCCTCTATGTTTAACTATTGTCCGTTGAGTCCGCATCGATTGTCCATCGTCTAACATTAGAGTTACTATTTATTAGTGGCCTCCAAACTCCTCCAAGTGCAAGTGGCCAACCTTTAATTGTTTAGTTTTCTTCACTCACATATCCTTCTCCTAAATCTCTAAAATTTAGAGAACCTTATATTACCCCATTTCATACCATTTGTTTTAACTTTTGTCCATTCGGTTTTCCCAATCTAATGTCCATGTACTTAAATATCTCCCAAGTGTGTTTTTTTATCCAACTCTCTCATTTTAGATCCTCTATGTTTAACTATTGTCCATTGAGTCTACATCGATTGTCCGTTGTCTATGGCATTTTCTCCAAATCATCGACTTCGCCCACCAATTCGCAGCCATCTCAAAACACTGTGGGCGGAAATCTAAGTTATCCCCTTCCACCGTTTGCCACAGAAACTACCAAAGATCCATACTAGATATCGTCTGTACAATCCTCGCATTCGCCCTCCAATTTACAACCCACTTTTGAAACATTGTCGATGGAATCCTAAGTTGTATCCCTCAACCGTTTTTCAAAGCCGCTATCTAAAATCTATACCATATTTACTATGTGTTAACTGTTGACGAGTTTTGTATCGGGAACGAGTTTTATCCGCTATGGTAGTAAACAGGTCGGGTAAAGTGTGCATTTGTTACAAAACTCAAATCGACCCGGTCAAAGCCAATTGAACACAGTGTTCACGAGTTTTGGATCGCGAATGAAGCTTGACTGCTTTAATGTTTTTTACTTCACTTTTTCGTTTTTGTTGAGAATGACAATTGAACCCAGACTCGGTGCTGACGAGTTTTGTATTGAGAGTGAGTTTTATCCGCTTTTATAATTTACATGTTTGGTCGAGTGTGAATTCTTTAAAAACTTGGTTCGACCAAGTCAAAGCGAGTTGAACTCAACGTTGAGATATTTTTGATTTGGAGTGAGTTTTATCTGTTTTAGTGTTTTTATTTATCTTTTCCCTTTAGTTGAAAATGACAATCGAACTCAAACCCAAGGTATCCAATCTAATTCATCTGATCAAAACAACTTGAACCTGATATTTACAAGTTTTTGACCGGGAGTGAGTTTTATTCGCTTTTCTAATTTGCATGTTGGTTCAAGTGTGAGTTTTGTTACAAATTGGTTCAACCCGTTCAAAGTGTGTTGAACTTGTTGTTGCCGAGTTTTGGTTCGGGAGCGAGTTTATCCGCTTTAGTATTTTTTTTCTTTTTGATTGAGAATGCTAATTGAACCCAAAACCATAATATTCAACCTAATTCGGCCCGGTCAACGCGAGTTGAACCTACTAAACCTGCGATAAGCCCCGAAAATACATAAAAAAGTGAATCAAGATAAACTTAATAAAAACAAAGCAAAAAGAGTACAAACTGGACAATATCGTCATGAGAGAAGTTTAAAAATATAAATCATTTGCTCGACGACTCTTCTCCCTTCTGAAAGTTTATCGCTTAGCCGACCACATGGTGTTGTAGATGCCAAACCCATGGAAAGAAAGATTCATAATGAAATAAAACCCTCTACTTTTATATCAACATTATTTAAACTATTACTCAAAAAAATATCATGTTGTCGCTCACACGCGAAACGATAGCGAGCGAGTTTATACTAGTAATAGTATAATATGCATTCATTTAGGCTGATAGGTGATTCTTCTAGTCACATCAACAAAAAAAAAATGACGTTGATTATGGAGTGACAAATGATAACTGTCGGTCACCAAACTTGAAATATTGAACAAATTCTAGTAATCACGAATGCAATAAAATATTTTTATCGACTAATGAAACAATTTAGTAATACCAAACTTGCAATTTAACATTAAAAAAATCAAAAAACCATTTCCGACAAGTATCAACTCTGGTTCCATCCCCCCTATCATTTTCAACCTTCACTCCCCTCTTAATTCCCAATTTTCGTCATCGAACACTTTTAAAAACCCTCCCTCCAATTCCAAAACAGAGTAGCTGCTCTGCAGCCAGAGTATCCACTGCAACAATGGCGGCTCTCAACAATTCTTCCTTCCTAACAACAACAACACTACTAATCATCCTCCCCATCGCCTCCCAACTCCTCTTCCTCCTCATCAACGCAGCCCCACCACCAAACTCCTCCCCTTCACTCACCATGTACCCATTCAACTGCTCCCAATCCACCACCACCACCTGCAACGCTTCCCTCTACCACGCCACCTCCCTCGGCCGCCACGACTCGACTCGACAAATCGCCACGTACTACTCCGTCAACGAAACCCAGCTCCACCCGATCACAGGCATCCATAACCGCCAAGACTACCTCGTCACCGTCCCCTGCTCCTGCGGGACCGTTAGCGGGACCACCGCCTACTTCCACGCCGTCAATTACGCCGTCCAGCAGGGGGACACGTTCAGCGACGTGTCGGCGGAGGTGTACAGCGGGCAAGTTTGGGTGGTCGGAGACGAGAAGCAGCGGTTCGTCGCGGGAAACAACGTGACGATGAATTTGGTGTGTGGGTGTTTGGATGGAAAGGGAACAGAGGAGGAGGAGGGTGAGGTCATCGTGACGTATACGGTTGAGGACGGGGATACTCTGGCCGGAATCGCTGACCGGTTTCAGGCGAGTTTGAGCAGGGTGGTGGGGCTGAACGAGTTGCTGACTCAGAACCCTGGGTTTATTGATGTGGGTTGGGTTCTTTATGTCCTCAAAGGTTCTCAAGTTGGTGATGGTGGAGCTTCATCGTCGCCCAAGTCCAGTAAGATTCTGAACTTCTCTCTGTTATATGTTTTGGGAAATTGAAAATGTAAGTGAAAAGATAAAGATTTACATGCTTTGCTAACACACTGAGTAGAACTGTAGAAGAAACCAGTTTCACTGAATTTGGAGAGATATAAATTACAAAAATTGAGAATATATACATGACACGTTATCTTGACGATCTACCTATAATCCTATTCGAAAAGGAAAAGGTTACAGAACATACCAAAAATTAGTAAAACAAACTTGTTGTTAGAACGGATCGGGATAATCGACAATGCAAGAAAGTAAAGAATATAAAGATTAATGTGGTTCACTAACACGATGTGTGTTAGTTAGTCAACAGGCAGGAGAGAACCAATTTCACTATATTTGAGGATATTACAGGTTGCAGAGGGATTGAGACGTATAAATAGTACTTTTCCAAATGACAAATCATGACCAAAACTGAAACCCAAATGTATATAAGCTCATACCGTGACTTCCAATCTACTACGGATAATCAAATTTTAAGTCATATCAACACGTGTATAAGTCCATACCCCACTACTTGGAGTCTGGAGAGCGGATCTGTTTTGAGGTGATCATAGCATCACTTGGTTACCATTTTTGTGAATGAGGTATATGATTATTTTGTTTGTGAAATCAGGGGGGTCTGAGAAATGGACGGTGGTGGCCATAGTCCTGTCAGTGGCAGCAACATTGCTTCTGATCGCCGGATGTTTGGTGTTTGTTTGGCGGAGGAAGAGATACTTGAAGCAGCAGAAGCAGAGTATTAATGGCATGAAGCTGGCGCAGGATCAAAAAGCTGCTGCAGCAGGAGGAGGAGGGTTTGGAAGCAGCATCAGTTCTTACCGAACACCTTCAGTTCTAAAGTCTTTCAAGGACTTCACCGGAGGTAATTATTGGAAATGTTGTTGTGATCGTCGCCACGGGGAAGTCAACTGTGTTTATGTTTGACCTTGATTTTGATGGTGTTTGTTGTGGGTTGTGGAGATTTCGAGAAAGGGTACTTTGACGCGGAAGGACCGGTGAGGTACAACATAGAAGAGATCGAGGAGGCGACCAACAACTTCGATGAGTCCAAGAAGATTGGAGAGGGTGGATATGCCAAAGTGTTCTTTGGAATCTTGAGAGGCCAGGTGCATATATAATCTCATCCGCCGCCGGGTCAATAATATTCTTTCTTGTTTCACAAGCTTACAGAGAGACAGAGGTCAATGACCTAATCAAAATTAATTTTCTTTTTGGGTTTTGATGTTAATTAGGAGGTGGCGGTGAAGATGATGAGATCGAACAAGTCCAAAGAGTTCTATGCAGAGCTTAAGGTTCTCTGCAAGGTTCATCATATCAATGTTGTGAGTAACTAATCAACCCCTAGGCTATATACATAAGCTAATAATCAGTTAGTTCTATACGGAGTGTAAAAATTTGTGCGGAAGCTAAGAGAAGAACAAGACGAGATTTACGTGGTTTCCCCGATATCGGGACTAGTCCACGGGAGAGCTCAACTCTCCGGCTGATTTCTTATTGATCAGTTTGTTAAGGCGGCCATTGGCCTTACATTGGGTTTTATACCCTTACATTCATCAACAGAGGGAAAACAGCTAGGGCAAGTAAATGAGACTTGTGATGTAGTGGGCTCTTGCTCGGCTAGCTGAAGTGCGGACGAGCCCATGATGGGCTGGAGGCCCATGTCCGCTAATACTCCCCCGCAAGCTGGAGCGTGAAGATTACGAACCTGCAGCTTGGACAAGAGGAAGTGAAAACGCTCGGCACCTAAACCTTTAGTAAACATGTCAGCAACCTGCAGATGTGAACTGATCTTCATGGGAGTAATCTCGCCAGATTGAACACGTTCACGAACAAAGTAGCAGTCCATCTCGACATGTTTGGTGCGCTCATGAAACACCGGGTTAGCAGCTATATGAAGAGCTGCTTGGTTGTCACAGTGAAGAGGAGTTGGGCCGTGTGAAGAGACACCGAGCTCCTTGAGAAGCCACCGCAACCAGATTACCTCACTAACTGTGCTGGCCATGGCGCGGTATTCTGCTTCAGCAGAGGAACGTGCAACAACCTGTTGTTTCTTGGTGCGCCAAGAAACAGGCACACCCCCAAGAGTGATGACATAGCCTGTAGTGGAGCGCCGAGTAGACTGACAACCTCCCCAATCGGCATCGTAATAGGCCACAAGATCAAGAGTGTTAGTCGCAGGAAAGAACAGTCCTTGTCTAGGAGCGGCTTTCAAGTAGCGAAGAAGCCTGTTACCAGCATCCATATGTGCTTGAGTGGGGGCACGGACGAACTGACTGAGGATGTTAACGGCATACGTGATGTCAGGCCGAGTAACAGTCAAGTAAAGTAAACGGCCAACCAATCGACGATATGATGCAGGGTCCGGGTGGTCGGCAGGAGCAGGCTGGGTGAGGCGATGGTTTTGCTCGACCGGAAAAGCACTGGGGCGACTAGCCATGACGCCAGAGTCATGAAGGATATCAAGGGTATACTTTCTCTGACTGAGAACCATCCCTTCTGGTGACCGGGCAACTTCAATGCCCAAGAAATATCTCAAATCACCTAGATCCTTGATGGTGAAGCGAGAATGTAGAAAACTCTTAACACGAGAGATGAATGCGAGATCATTCCCAGTCAGCACAACGTCATCAACGTAAATAAGTGCTACGACGTGAGTACTCCCCCGGTGAAAAACAAACATAGAATGATCTGCAGGTGACGAACGGAACCCCAATTCACAAAGAGCAGTTGTGAATTTGTGATACCAATTTCGTGAAGCTTGTTTGAGCCCATAAATGGACTTATGAAGCCGACAAACACGTGTGTCGCCAGGAGCAGCAAAACCCTCGGGAATGCGCATATAAACTTCTTCATCCAAATCACCGTGAAGAAATGCGTTGTTCACGTCGAGCTGATGAATGTACCATCCTTTGCTGACAGCAACGGCTAGAAGGCATCGAACAGTAACCAGTTTAGCGACTGGCGCAAAAGTATCATGAAAATCCACCCCTTCTATCTGCGTGTAACCCTTGGCGACAAGTCTGGCCTTGTAACGCTCCACAGTGCCATCGGGATAGAACTTAATTTTGTAAACCCACTTCGCTCCAATCACACGCTTTCCGGGCGGTAGCATTACTAGGCTCCACGTGCCATTTTCTTCAAGGGCCAGCACCTCGGCTGCCATGGCACGTCGCCAACATTCATGCAAGAAGGCCTCACGAAATGTGCGAGGTTCTGGATTATGGGCAACTGCAGCAAGAAAAGCACAGTAAGAGGAAGACAACTTGGCATATGAGAGATGGTTCGAAATAGGATGACGCACAGAATGAGCATCATGACCTGTGTAGTAATCATCCAGGCGCTTCGGGGGAACACGAACTCTGTCACCTCGTCGCAACGGCGGAGGTGAGGGAGGTGAAGGTGAATTCGGGCGAGCTGGAGTGGGAGATGGACTGGGTTCAGCGGGGGGAAGAGTCCCACGTGAGGAGGACGAAAGATCAGGCCCGAGAGAGGGCGCCTCCTGATGAAGCCCAGCTGGGCAGCCCGTGAGCGACGGCAGTGCTGGATTAGGATCAGCCATTACTAGTTCATCTTCCAAATCTGCAGTCTGCCGAGGAAAATCACTACCGGGAACCCAATGAATCTGCTGTGAGGTGCCAGATTGAAAGGGGAAAGTAGATTCATGAAAGATCACATCACGACTTGTGATAATTTTCTTGCTCGCCAAATCATAGACACGATAACCTTTCTGACTAGCCGCATAGCCCATGAAAACACATGTCCGACCTCGTTCAGCAAATTTATCCAGATGTGAGTGAGTATCCTTGCTGTATACGAGGCACCCAAAGACTCGCAAGTGAGAGTAACTAGCCGGCTTACCAAAAACAACCTCGTAAGGAGTGCGGCCCGTAGCTGTGGTGGGGAGTCGGTTGATCAAGTATGCTGCAGTAAGTATGCACTCACCCCAAAATCGAATAGGTAAGGAGGCCTGAAACCTCAATGCACGCGCTGTCTCTAGAAGATGGCGATGCTTGCGCTCGACCACCCCATTCTGTTGGGGCGTGTCGGTGCAAGAAGTTTGCAATAGAATCCCTTCCTTTTCATAGAAATCACGCAGCAGCAGAGTTCCAAACTCAGAACCATTATCAGTTTGAATCTTCTTCACCTGTTTACCAAACTGAGTGCGAACTAAATTGCAAAACAATTGGATGTACCTCCCAACATCAGATTTGAACTTTATAAGATAAATCCATACTCCACGACTGAAATCATCAACGATTGTCAAAAAATAATAAGCACCACTGTAAGAGGGAGTGTTATACCCTCTCCAAATATCCATGTGCAACATCTCAAAACAAGAGGTAGTCCGAATGCCACTAACAGGAAAACTGGTCCTAACTTGCTTAGCACGAGAGCAAGGATGACAAATACTAGGGGCCGAAACTGCAGAAGCAGGAAGCTGATCTCGAAGCTTGGTCATAACCTCCAATGAAGGGTGTCCCAACCTTTCGTGCCAAGGTAGTGCAGGAGCCTTGTCGACAGCATTAACTCGAGCACCACGACAACCAAACAACTGCAGAAAATAGAGTCCATCACGAATCTCCCCCTTCCCAATCACGTTCCTGGAGTGTAAGTCCTGTATAATGCAAAAATCATCGAGGAAGATTACGGCAACACGATGTTCTTGACAAAGTCTGCTAACTGATAAGAGGTTGCAACGAAATTCCGGAACATGTAAAACACGACCCAGTGTCATCCCATCACCCAATTTAACTGAACCAATGCGTTTAACCGGAATACTAGCGCCATTCGGAATGCGCACAGGTTGAGTAGATAAAATACGATGATCCGAAGTAAGGATATCACCATCCATAGTGATATGTTCATTGCACCCGGAATCTATAATCCATTCACTGTGATCAGAGAAAGAAAACGTACCGGCCATGTGACTTGCGGGATCCGTGGCCGAGGAGAAATGTGAGCCAAAAAAACGTTTCAGCTGCTCAAGCTGCTGGGCGCTAAAACCAGAAACAGGGCTCGATTCCTGCTCCACTTGAGATGCCCGTGGCTCACGACTGCGCCCGCGAGCAGCTCCACCATCTCGGCCTGCATCCCTTCCAGAATCACGACCCTTACGACGATTTTGTCCATCTCCTTGTTTGTCGCGAGAAGGGTAGCCAATTAGCTGATAACATGTCTCACGCAGATGCCCAGGTTTGAGGCAGTGAGTACAAATTCGGGTGTCCTTGTCGGCAGATCCTCGATCACGTGTATTGCGGGCGCCATTAGCGCCGCGATCTGATGATCCTTGGGTCACGAACGCTGCTGCTTCTGGGAGAGGCTTGCGGTTCTGAGTCAACGTTCGTTGTTGTTCATCATTATAAACAATCCGGAAGGCCTCGGGTAATGATGGAGGGACTGGCATGGAAAGGATCTGACTGCGGACAGTTGCAAAAGAATCATCGAGCCCCAACAAAAAATCGAAGAGTCTCAAACTCTCATTCTGATCGCGGCATTGACGTCCACAGGAGCAGATGGGAGGCGGCAGGATGGACTGTGTCTCTTCCCAAGCCTTGCGAAGCTTTGTATAAAAGCTAGAAACAGATTGCTTTTCTTGTTGGAGAAAACTTACATGTCGACGTAATTCATACGCACGGGTCAGATTTCCTCTGCTAAAACGATCTCGAAGGTCCTCCCATATCTCTTGAGCCGTTTTAGCGTGCATGACACTACTCCGTAATTCCGGATCCATTGCAGTGCGCAACCAACCCTTGACCAGGGCGTCACACCGCATCCAAGCCAGCAACGAGGCACCAGTGCCCTGCGGACGAGAGAGAGTACCATCAACAAAGCCGACTTTGTTCTTGGTGACGAGAGCATCAGTCATCTCAAGAACCCACTCCCCATAATTGGTCGGAGTTAATACGCTGCTGACATGCAGGTGTCCAGTAGAATCAGAATTTGGAATGAAAAAGGGGCTTTGAGCATCAAGCTCTTTGTCGCCACCAGAATCAGAAGCAATCGACTTGCCCGAGTTTGGCGTCTCAAGGGTAGAGTCGTTGCCTGACATGTTGCAAACGCTGTGTACGGATCACAGCTCTGATACCATGTAAAAATTTGCGGAAGCTAAGAGAAGAACAAGACGAGATTTACGTGGTTTCCCCGATATCGGGACTAGTCCACGGGAGAGCTCAACTCTCCGGCTGATTTCTTATTGATCAGTTTGTTAAGGCGGCCATTGGCCTTACATTGGGTTTTATACCCTTACATTCATCAACAGAGGGAAAACAGCTAGGGCAAGTAAATGAGACTTGTGATGTAGTGGGCTCTTGCTCGGCTAGCTGAAGTGCGGACGAGCCCATGATGGGCTGGAGGCCCATGTCCGCTAATACGGAGAAATTCAACCATGCTTATCGGAGTTTTGGTTTTTAAAAAAAATCTTTATGGTACAAAATGAATTTATACCTTTAAAACTATGGTGCAAATTCAGTTTCTACTCATACTTTGTTTTTTCAAATTTCTTTATTGTACATTTAACGCGTTTGTGTTACAAATTCAGTTTATATTTATATCTTTTTTACAGATTGTTTTATGATACAAACTGGATTTGTACATTTATGATACAATCTGAACTTGTACATCAACGTAATGTTACAAGTTCGATTTGCACCTCAAAGTATCAATATTTTAAAGTATATAGTAGAATGACTCGGGTTTCGAAATTAATGAGTAACAAACATATATGATGTGATCATGTACGTGAATGCATGCGCAGGTGGAACTTTTGGGGTATGCGAGTGGGGATGATCATGTTTTCTTGGTGTATGAATATGTCCGCAATGGATCCCTAAGTGACCATCTCCACGACCCATTGCTCAGAGGTTGGAACACCAACATAAATAATAAATATATTTATGACTGACTGCATTAAATGAACATGAAACAAACACTTGTTTAATTTATGTAACTGGACGTCATTACAAATCTCTGCCTGGGCTGCATCAGGTTACCAGCCGCTTTCCTGGTCTGCAAGAACTCAAATAGCAGTTGATGCCGCCAAGGGAATCGAGTACATCCACGACCATACTAAAACAAGATATGTACACAGAGACATCAAGAGCACCAACATTTTGCTCGATGATTGCCTTCGAGCCAAGGTATATATATTATATAGAGCCCTGTAAACTATATATTGGCGTTTCGAGATACAAATTAAATTTGTATAATAACGTTGAAGATACAAGTTCGGTTTGTGCCATGAATTAATTTGTACCATAGCAGTCTGAATTCGGAAGATTAAATCCCGATAGGTTGCGGATTTCGGATTGGCTAAGCTGGTGGAGAGGAGCAACGATGATGAGTTGATAGCCACAAGACTAGTTGGAACTCCAGGCTACCTTCCTCCAGAGTAAATAATTACAAGTTCATGATTCTTTTGAGCTAGAAAAAAAAATTCGTCACATTTCAGGAATTTTCGTGTGGTACTACTAATTAATTCCTAGTTGTTTGGTGAATTTTTTTTGGAGGAAAGGTCTGTGAAGGAACTACAAGTCACTTCAAAAACCGATGTTTTTGCATTTGGAGTCCTTCTGGGAGAGCTCATCACAGGGAAAAGAGCTTTGGTTCGGGACAACAAAGAACCTGGCAGGCTCAAATCCCTCATCACAACCGTATGTGCCTCATCTACCCATCTCAGAATTACACAAAAAAATATGGATATCCTTTGCATTAAAATGGTGCAGCCCGTTTCTGATCTTGTAAGAAACCTATCTGGTTCATCCTTGGAGGATCAATTTAGAAACTGGCATGCTTCATCCTTGTTTCCTTCATGATCCTATTTAACCAGGTCTTGTTGGGTTAGGCCAGCTTGTCGACTCAAATCAATCAACAAATTAATTTTAAAACATGTATCTAAATTTATTTTTCCTTAAAATTTAGTGCCTAAACTTTTTTTTTTTTTACAAACAAGTCAAGAAACTTTGGTGATAAATTACATTTTAATGTCTTCATATTTTTACCTTGCATTATAGTACTTGAATTTTCAAAATTTTACAAACTTGTCCAATATATTGGCATTTTTTTTGGTAAGGATGATATATATAGATTTTTTTGTTGTTTAGCTACTACTTAAGAGATTCGAACCTAGAAACTCCAGATTCAAAGTTAGCGGTATTACCATTAGACCACCAAATCCAATAAGTTGACATCTTACTCTCTCGATTTCAAATCACTAGTTGTTGTTATGAGTCATAGGGCCAAAAAGTCTTATCTTGACACGACCCAAATCCAAAAAAGACCCCGACACTAAAATGAGCCCATAGACAAACCTATCCCGCCTGACTCGCTTAATATTTAGGACCCTCAATTACACTCGAGGAGCGGTCTAATTGGGCAACTCACCTTTTTTTTTTTGTTTGTTTGTCCCGACAGTTGGCTGAGGTTTTTGAAGCTGAAGAACCGCAAATGGCTCTAGAAGAAATTATAGACTTAAACCTTCGTAGTGGCTACCCATTGGAAGAAATCTATAAGGTAAAGTCTACACTATTTGAAGAAACCTAGGCCGACGAGCTTCGGGCCGCCACTGTGGTTGCAACTGAAATCAACATTTTTGTTTTTGGGTGTGGCATATGCAGATGGCGGAAATAGCACAATGGTGTTTGAGTGAAGAGGCGATGAACAGACCGGAGATGAGGGACATTGTTGGGCCGCTGGCCCAAATCGTGACGGCTTCCGTGGAGTGGGAAGCCTCCATGGGAGGTGACAGCCAGGTTTTTAGTGGCATTTTTAACGGGAGATAGACAGTACTCATACAAGGTATCTTAATGGATGTAATTTGAAAATTAATTAATTGCCATGATGTTTTTTTTTCCAATGTTCTTGTTTCTTCGAAGAGGGATTTTTTAAGCTCCCATTATTTGAGTGAAATTGGGTTTTTGTTTGTAATTTTTCTCTTCGGTTTGTGAGACATGGGATAAGTATATGATTTTAGGGGTTTTTGCTATAACAAAAATGAATCAAATATGGCAGCTGCCAAGACTTGGGAAGTTTTGTAAATTTTTTAGGGTTGTAATAGAGGATGTGGAAGTTTTTTTTTTTTGTAAATGGTTTTCATTGATGCTTGATAGCAAATGATTAGAATTGTCGACGAATGTTTCTTCACATTATATTTATGGAATGATCATTTTATTACATCAATCTATGAAAAACTAGCGTGTATTGAGTTTTAATATGAAAATTTGACCTCAAGAAATCCAATCGATGGGTTGAAGTGAAGAACTCGCATATTTAAGAAATGCCACATTGTTATTCATTAAACAATTAAGATTTGTCTTGTTAAGAAGATGACTTAAAATGTCATATAGCTATTTCAAAAATAGGTATCAAAAGCAAAATAAGACATATAAGGATATAGCAACAATGATGAAAGAAAAAAAAGTATTCACGATGTGTCAATAGAATTCGGCTCGTGCGAAAGTAATATTATCTTCACTAAGGAGTGCATGCTTCTTGAGTTCAATTACTTATATGTTTTTTTATTGAAATTCAAGTCCCGAAAAATTCTCTCAATGATGATAATGAAACTAGTATGGTCTAAAGATTCTGCAGAGCTACCTATATTTTTCTTTGACAATGATCATATTCATTAATGATCATAGTTATGTACAACAATATCTAAAGATAGACGGTTGTAAAACAGAAAAGATCTTCGCTGTCAATTGAATCAGCTGATCGTAGACAAGAGAAGAAAATCAAGCCACAACGAAGCTCCAAATCATGGAGTAGGCAGAAGAGATTGCATCTTCATATCGACTACATGATTCCATCATAGCCGATAGAGATAATTTTTTCTCTTTCTCATCAAGATAAATAATATTATAATTACTTATTTTTCACTTCATTTATTCTACCTTATATTTTCTTCCCAAATGTTAATTCACTTATTAACTTACACCTCTTCAAATTTACACCCTCTTATTTAATTTGCACTCCCCCAAAACTTACACCTCCTATTTCTCAATCAGAAGGTATACGTTTCTAGCAAATATTTCCCTATTATGTTCATTGAGGTTGCAACACTGAAACGACCACAGCAAGGCTGCAAGGGTATGTCGTTTAATAGCGACTAGTAAAAATTTATGGCGAAAGAAAATGAGAACTTCCACCACTTAACCATTTCCCCCCCTGAAACTTCCGTTGTCGTTGTCGACAAAAGAAAAGGAAAAACCGATTTGGGCTTCTACTCGCGAGCAAACAGCTACAAGAGATCTATCTACCCGCTGCGCAAGAAGAAGAAAAACAAGTGAGAAGCCGGAAACCGAAGAAAGGAACAGCTCCAGCGCAGCGCTACACTTCGGAAAAGGTTTTTCGGGGGTCGCGGATCGCGACCGGGACGGTTTTCCCGGCGATTCTTATGATTCAAACTGCCGCAGCTGCTCTCTCGACGGGAAATTCCCTGCAATCGGATCGCAGTTACACAACCGTTTCGTGTCGTTCACCTTCGCTTTAGGAAAATATCCGATCTGGTGGTTGTGAGCATAATTTAGGGGATTGGATCGAAGGAAACAGCGAGTTCATTTCCCCCCTCTCCGCAAATGGCCGGAGCAGTTTCGGCTCTTTTCCTCCTCGACATAAAGGGCCGGGTCCTGGTGTGGCGCGACTACCGTGGAGATGTCACCGCAATCCAGGCCGAGCGCTTCTTCACCAAGCTGATCGAGAAAGAGGTTCGCGTCTCTCTTTCTTTTTCCTTGCTTTGCTTGGGAAGCGATTGAGATTGATTTCTGTAGGATTTTGCTTAAGCTAATTAGAGTTAGATCTCTCGTCTCATCAAATCGTGCGTGTGGATTGGTTCGGTGATTTTGGATTTTGATCAATTCAGGGAGATCCTCAGTCGCAAGATCCTGTTGTGTATGATAATGGAGTCACTTACATGTTTATTCAGCACAGCAACGTTTACCTTATGACGGCTGCGCGGCAGAACTGCAATGCCGCCAGCCTTCTCACATTTCTGCACCGTGTAGTTGATGTAAGTCTTCTCCTGATGGTCATTGCAATTTAAATGCGGGCTTGTACAATGTTATTGATTTAGCGATGCACGAAGTCTTGGATTCTATAAGGGGTTTTTATTACAGATCGTTCCTGATTCCACTTGTGCAGGTTTTTAAGCATTATTTTGAAGAATTAGAAGAGGAGTCACTGAGAGATAACTTTGTTGTAGTGGTATGTTGACTTCCAATTGAGTGTATTGTTTGAATTTCTGGATGTTCTGGTTGTATTCGAGATGACAGCGGCAGTGCTTGGGTTCCTTTGCAGTACGAGTTGTTAGATGAAATGATGGACTTTGGATATCCTCAGTATACCGAGGCTAAAATTCTGAGCGAGTTCATCAAGACAGATGCCTACAGGATGGAAACTACACAAAGGCCTCCGATGGCTGTGACAAATGCTGTGTCCTGGCGCAGCGAGGGGATCGCATACAAGAAAAATGAGGTGGTTCCCTTTCTTGTTTTAACATTCCTCTTTGGTGCTTCCTTATGTTTTCTGAAGTAATAATTTGTCCTTGTTTGTTTAGGTTTTCTTGGATGTTGTGGAGAGTGTTAACATACTTGTTAATAGTAATGGACAAGTAATAAGATCAGATGTTGTTGGAGCATTGAAGATGAGAACTTATTTGAGGTTTGTCTCTTCTCTTGAATCTGTTATAGTGTTTGAATAACTTAATTGGTTTGAAATCACTGTTGTGGAAGCCATTCAATGTCCCAAATTATGATATTTATCTGGTCTGTTAAACTTCTCATAGATCGTATTTGTGTCAGAGTTGGGAATACGAGTGCTTGTTGGTTTCTGGCGTATGAATTTTTCAGCCTTGTTTTGTTGCACCTTGTAATTTCTGCTGACACTGTATTGTTAATCATATTAGCAGGATTCTCATGCTATCTGTAGCCGTTCCATAATCTAGGTTTAGTGAAGCATTGGACTGATGATGGCGATTGAAGCAATAGTATGCTTTTGAATGTCATAGAACTGCTACAGTAGATTGTTAATCATATTAGCAGAATTCTCATGCTATCTGTTAGATGTGTCGGTTTATTGTCACTGTTGCACAGGAAGTTACAGTTGGAAATAGTTTCCCTAGTCTTGTTGATTGGTTTTGTTAAATGGCCAGTAGTGTGATGTTTTCAGCAATGCAATTCTGTCATAATTTCAAGGGGTGGCCTTGTAATGGGTCATCGAAGATAGTAGACATGCATCTGATCCCTTTAATACCTGGTCCTGGAATATGAGACTTTATTTTGCATATCTGGTTGGTGTTTAGTTGTCCCAGCGTGGCTGGAGCCTCTGATCTTCTGATTGGTGTGTTTGTAATGTCAACTTTTTTATTCGCCGTGGTTGCAAAGGCTAATGTTATGGCTCGATCACTTGTTGCAGTGGTATGCCTGAGTGTAAGCTTGGCCTAAATGATAGAGTATTGTTGGAGGCTCAAGGTCGAACAACAAAGGGAAAGGCCATTGATTTGGAGGATATCAAATTTCATCAGTATGCTACCTGATCTGAAGTCTACTTAAATCCATTTAGCTGTCGAAATTCGTTATCTCTCTATGATGCTACCAACTTACCGGAGAGTTTGAACTATTACTTGACTGATAACTCGAGCTAAATGCCCCTTCTCACTAGGTGTGTGCGTTTGGCTCGATTTGAGAATGATAGAACTATATCCTTCATACCTCCTGATGGATCTTTTGATCTGATGACATACCGACTCAGTACTCAGGTACGACCTTTGAGTGTTTTTTTAATTTCTTAGGGCTCTCTTATGAAGCAGCATTCAAAAATATGCTGTTTTCTTTCAGGTCAAGCCTTTGGTTTGGGTGGAAGCTCAAGTTGAAAAGCATTCTAGAAGTCGGGTTGAGATCGTGGTAAAGGCTAGAAGTCAGTTCAAAGAGCGAAGGTATTCTCTTGTTCGGCTTTAGTTGTTAATGTGTTTTATTGAACTGTGTTAGGCATATACTTTTCTCCTATCTCAATACTTCATGCAGTTTATGAATGGGAATTATTTCTGAATCTCCCAGAGTTTCTTGATTTCTTACAGCACAGCAACAAATGTGGAAATTGAGTTGCCTGTTCCAGCTGATGCTTCCAATCCTAACATCAGAACGTCAATGGGATCAGCATCATATGCTCCTGAACGCGATGCTCTAATGTGGAAAATAAAATCTTTTCCTGGCGGAAAGGTATGGATATTTTGTTTTTCATTAATGTTCATTATGTTTGTGAAGTGAGTTTAGTGCTGCATACTTGCCAATTAAAAACACTCAGTTGCTAGAAAGGGTTTAGTATCTTATCATTCATATATTAGGCACTCTGTATTCTGTCTAGTAGCTGTCTAACAAACTGCGCTATTCAGGAGTATATGTTGAGGGCAGAATTCAATCTTCCCAGCATAACCGCTGAAGAAGCAACTCCGGAGAGAAAAGCTCCTATACGCGTGAAGTTCGAGATACCATATTTTACTGTTTCAGGAATCCAGGTAGGACTCCCGAACAAGATATCACTTACACTTTCTTTTCGATTATCTTTAAATTCTGTTGTCTTTAATGTTTTCAAATTAGGTTGTTAGAGCAGAATCAGAACTCATTGTTGTCTTGAGGAATGGTATTATATCATAGGTCCATCCCAGTTCCATGCTTTTATGTTTTTGTGTTATTGGAAATGTTTGTTATACACTGATTCCTGGATACACCTGAGCTAACTGCTAAGGCTATTTGCTTTATCTAATTCACCTGTACCATAATATTCAGGT